TATACAATGACTAAATAATTTAAATGGGGTGTTACACTACCAACATGGCACACTGAATAACTTTCCATTCAGAGTCTATCTCAGTATCTTGCAACATGTCAAACTCTGCAAATATTCTTGGTATTTGTATGATTTTTTGTGGTGTTCGAACTTGTTCATAATCTTCTTTAGATGCTGGAACAATATCAGATGTTGAACTACCTTCAGAGGCATGATTACCACCAGAGTTTGGATCATCACCAGAATCAGATTCACTTTTAGAGTCAAACTCGTCTTTAGACTCATCTTCAAACTCAGAGTCACCTTCAGACTCTAACTCATCTTTGGAGTCAGAATCTTGTTCAGAGGTAGATTCTTCTTCAGAGTCTGAAATATCTTCATAAGCTAACTCATATGTTAACACTGCACCAGAGTTGGATTGAGACTTATTCCAATCCCATGCTTTTGTTTCCTTCATAATGACATCTCTGTTGAGTTCAAATTTATTGGTGACAATACAGTAGAGTTCATAAGCACAAGTACTATGGTACCCTACAAGTAACATTACTTTGCTTCTGTCATCCAACTTCCTTCTCTTAGCATCTGAGACATGTTTATAACAAATAGAACTAAACACCTTCAGATGGCTCACACTTTGCTTATCTCCAGTCCACTTCTAAATAGGAACTACTCCCCTCAACTTCTTGGTTAGACATCTGTTGAGCATGTATGCTGCAGTAAAAACACCTTATCTCCACAAGGTGTGATAGAGTTTCTTCTCCTTCAACATGTTCCTTATGATATCAAGCAAATTCGTGTTTCTTCTTTAAGCAAGATCATTGTATTTTAGAGTATATGGATCAGTAACCTCATGCTCAATTCCATTATCCTCATAGAACCTTCTGAACTCTGATGAGTTGTACTCACCTCCACCATCAGTTCTGAGAATTTTTAGCTTCTGACCACTCTGTTTTTCAACCTTCACCTTGAACTTCTGAAATTCAGCAAACACCTCATGCTTAAACTTGATGAGTGATACCCATGTCATTCTTGTGAACTCATCCACAAATGACACAAAGTACTTATTTCCTCCTAGTGAAGGTACTTCAAATGGTCCAAATACATCAGTATGCACTAGTCCTAAAATATGTTTTGCTCTTGGAGCCACTTCTGATGCAAATGGTAATTTAGGTTGCTTATCTTTCATGCATATCTCACATGACTTCTCAGGCTTCACAATTTTAGGAATGTCATCTACCATCTTCTTAGAACTCAGATGCCCTAAGCTTCCTAAGTTCATATGCCCCAATCTCTTGTACTACAATTCACTCTCACCTTCAACACCTTATGCACTAAGACATTTAGTTTTATTTGTTTCAACATTCACCTTGAATGTTCTGTTGCTTCTCAGCTCATACTGCATAATTAGATTCTGATAAGAATCATACAACTTCAAGAGATTGTCCTTCATATTAACTGAGAAACCTTTCTTAATTAGCTGACTTGCACTCATCAGATTGCTCTTTATGCCAGGAACATACCAAATATCCTTGATTAGAACAGTTTTGCCACTCTTCACTCTGACCTTGCCATTTTCCATTCCTTCAGCATTCAGATACTTATCGTTAATACATCTAATTTTTGTCCTCTTTCTAGAGTCAACATTAATCAGCCATTATTTATTTCTAGTTAGGTGATTTGAGCAAGCAGTGTCCATATACCACTAGTCTACCAAATATCCACTATCAAATTTAGAAGTCATTAATAGCAAAGGTTCATCATCAAGTTCTCCTTTGCCTGTGTTTGCTTCTTCTGATTTCCTTTCCTTATTTGACCAACAATCAGCAACAAAGTGGCCAAACTTTTTACAACGGTAGCATTGAATCCTCTTCTTGTAAAATTTCTCTTTTCCCTTATTACGTTTCTTCTCATCAGAGTTGAAGGCTTCTAACTTCTGATAACTACCAACGTGTCTCTTCTTGGCCTCTGACTAAGACTGTTTCTGATTCTTCTTATCAGAAAACGCCTTCAGAGCCTACTCTACCTCTCTTTCAGAGGTTCTCTCAATCAGACGCAACTCTTGTACCTCTAAACTACTTTGCAGTTCTTCAATTCTCATCGTGCTAAGGTCCTTAGAGTGTTCAATTGCTACAACAATGTAATCAAACTTAGGAGTAAGAGATCTCAGTATCTTTTCAAAGATTACTTGTTCAAAGAGAGTCTTTCCATACTATTTCATATCATTTGTGATTAGAAACACTCTGGAGATGTAATATGGTACCTTCTCATTGTAATTCATGTTGAGATTCACATATTGCTTACATAGAGACTGAAGTTTCACCTTCTTCACTAACACATCACCTCCAAAGCAGTGTACAAGTGTGTCCCACACAACCTTCACCATAGTTTAATCGACGATCTTCTCAAACACATTTGTATCCATACATTGATGGATATAGAACAATGTCTTTTGATCCTTCTTTCTCGTTTCTCTTTGCGCGTTTCTATGTGCTTCAGTTGCATCTACTGCAACCGCTACGTAACCGTCATTGACGAGATCAAGAACATCTTGAGCGCCAAACAACACACATCTGAATCATCCACTGATTCCAATTATTTTCATCAAAGACTGGAAGCTTCGTGTTCAAGCTACTGTTTCCACTGTTCATGTTCGATCTTATGCAAATCACTCAAATCTCACAAACACTCGTGTTTCCCAATCCCTCGGAATCAAGAAATATGATTTTATACACCTCACGTACGCTCGTGTTTCCTAATCTGAATTCAACTTGAGCTTTAAGTATCAATTGTTAGTGCACAAGATTGAAGATGAAGAGAGAGAAATCAAATATGTAACTAACTTTTACTATTAAATGAAAACAGTTACACTGAATGAAAAAACTCTAACAAACTTAAACTAAACTTTAGTTTATATACACAAGTCCGAGCTAAATGAAATTCAAATGCAAACTAAATTAATCTTATATTGAATTTAAATTACACTTTAACAAATTCTTCTAGTACCTGACACATCTAAAATATGATAATTTAAAATATGAATAGAAATTAAAAATAAAATTATAGGGTTAACACACATTTTAGTCTCTCAATTTGGGGCGAATTCGAAAAAAGACTTTGTAAAAAAACACAGATTTCGTTCTGCCATTTAAAGATTCTTCTATTTTTTCTTTGTTAGAATTTTTTTTATATATATTTTTATTTTAATTATATGTGTGATCTTTTTATTATTTGTATATTGAAATGTTAAAAGATCAAAAATGACTAAACCAAGTATTAAAACTTGGCATGCAAGAAAAACCACTTTCCACTAGGCTATTAAGTATTTTTTGTTTATGATTTATATCAAATATATATAATATAAACTAAACTAAATTTAACTAAACTAAATTTAAGTGCATGTTGAAATGTTTATGATTTGTTTATTTATTTAATATTTAATATTTAATATAAAATAAACTAAATTTTATTTAATTACAACATTTCAAACGTTTTAATAAATTAAATTTTATTGTAATATTTTATTTATAAATTAATATTAACGTTTTAATAAACTAAACTAAATTAATATTAACATTTTAACTAATATTAATATAAACTAAATTAAACTAAACTAAATTTTTTTAACGTTTTAACTAAATTAATATTAATAAAAAAACTAAATTAAATTAATATTAACATTTTAACTAAACTATAATAAATTAATATTAACATTTTTTGATGAAATAATTAACCTATTAAAACAAAATAATTAACATATTATAAAATATTAATATTAATATTATAATATATTTAAATAAATATATTTAACTAAATAAATATGTTAAATATTAACATATATTTAAATATATTATTAGACAAATATAGTTAATTTCATAATATTTAAATAAATATGTTAATTAAATATTAACATATATTTAAATATTTTATTAAACAAATATAGTTAATTTCATAATATGTTAATAATATATTTAAATAAATATTTTATTTATTTTATTTTATTTCAGTTTAATATATTTAAATATATACTTTATTTCAGTTTAATATTTTTAATTTCAGTTTAATGTATTTAAATATTTATTTTATGTTAATTAATATTTTTATTTATTTTAGTTAATTTCAGTTGAATATAAATATTTTTTTAACGTTATTAATTAAATATTTTTTAATATATTTCAACATTTTTATATTACATATTCATTAAATTGAAGCAAACAAATAAATATATTAGATACTAACATGTAAAATATGTAGATAAGAAAGATATGCTAATGAATTGAAACAAACAAATAAATATATTAGATACTAACATGTAAAATATGTAGAAAAGAAAGATATGCTAGCCTAGTGGAAGAGGTGTACCTCCTCAAAACAAAGGTCATGGGTTCAATATTAGTGATTGACAAAATTTTAAGTTACACAATAAAATAACAGTCAAAATAGGAAAGAGGGAATCAGTGTTTTTTCAAATTCGCTCCAAAGACATAGGCTAAAATCTGTATTAATTCAAAATTAGATTAATGAGTCACTTTTAGACATATTAAGCCAAACTTATATTAATGAGATGGCTTACATTATTTGTGGAAATTTAGGTTCCACCAAAAGAAAAGTTATTCAAAATTAGATTAATGAGTCACTTTTAGACATATTAAGCCAAACTTATATTAATGAGATGGCTTACATTATTTGTGGAAATTTAGGTTCCACCAAAAGAAAAGTTATGCAACTTAAACAAAATATTTGCATTGGAGATGTCTTTCTCACTTCTATCACTTCTATTATTTGCACATATTCAACAAATCAAGAGGAAAACTACATGAAAACATGGTTCAAAACAAGAAAGTGAGAGTGACATTATTCAAACTAATTCTTAACTACACATAAACACACTAAACTGCCCTTAGTCATGGTAAAAAAAGAAAAAAAAGTCTGTTGTCACCATTTCAACATTTAGTTAATATGATTATACAAAAGATCCAATGCGCAAAACATCTATACACACACTAGTCATCAAACAAAAGGCGACGCCTAACAGATTTCGGAATATTAGGACTTGACGATTTCCGCTTCACTTTTGAGCCTCCGCTGTCAGGACTGTCACTTTTTCTCGATGATGACTCCTCTCCGTGTTTTGAATTATGTTTACTTTTGGTCGTTGGGAAGAACTCTGTAATATTTAGCTGGACGCCTTTCGAGTTTGGTGATGTTGCCGACTTTTCATTTTCTTGAGATTTTGAAGATTGATTCTTTTTCCTTTTCGCGTCCTTCAGTTCCTGCAAATTTAAATCATTCAGATCTCAACATAAAAAAGGAGCAGCATATAAAACCATCTGTCAAGTGAGAAAAAATAAACACCTGCTCATGCCAAAACCTTTTCACTTCTTCTGGATAAGCAGCTCCAACAAGGTCCATATTTTCATCTGTCAACAGAAAACTACACCCATCTTCTTCGCAAATCACGGGAAAATCACAATCATCGAGTAGATCCACTGTGTCATCATCAACCTCTATAACATCTTCTTGCGTGCCAGATTGACTTGAAAGAGTTTTGGAGGCAATGTTACCCATCGCGCGTTTCCACTTTACGACATAAATCTGATATCCGTATCTCGTCTTCACACGTTTTAAAGAATTAAACTCAAACTGTCCAAATAACAAACTATCAGTAGTAGTTGTTGAAGCCATTTCTCTCAAGAAGATGGTGGACATCATAGGAAACATTATCCGTCGAATGTAAGACGGATCCCAGTTCTGATGGAAGTTCAAAAAATCTATCAGTAGCTCAATTTTCGGTCTTTCCCATAAGATCTTAGGGCCGTCAATTGCTGCAAACAAAGTTGTGTAAGTAATAATATAGAATGAGTACAGGTACGATAATACACTTAAAACAACTCTACCAGATCAATCATATACAGGAAGAGAAATGATATTGATGATATTCATCTCAGGTCGACACATACCAGAAAAGTAACCATTATCATTGCATAAATACATAGCAATGATTTCATCCTTTGGAAAATTTGGCTCCTTTGCAATCTTGTCACAAATTTTTGTGTGCCAATTTTCAATCTTTTTCTGCTCCTTATTTTTCCTATTCTGTCAAACAAATATCATTAAGAGATTTTGAAATTTCTTTTAAAAAATTGATCTACAACAAAACTCCATATTTTAACGAGCAAAACATGTAGACGTGTTTTAATACTAACAAAAATATAATACGAAATTAATAACAACAAATCAGACAATGACTAAAATTGATCTAGAGGCCATACCATACCACAAGAGTTACAATCACATTTAAAACCTTCTCCTTTTTTCAAGCAACCTTCATTGTCATCTGTGACACAAAATTTACATGAAGACTTCGAATGATCTCTTTTGTTGCCTGGATGACCACAGAATGAGCAGTGAGGTTGTTTTGAACTTGGGGAGTTCCCATCAATATCCATATTGTCCTCAGGTTTAACGTCGATAGGAACTTGAAAAGCATTCCCGTTGCCTATCTCATGTAATCTGCATTAAAGATCATTGTCAATCAGGACCGCTAAGACTGGAAAATTTATTGACCACTATTTCGTAGTGTATCAGTAACTAAAATATACAATTCGGAATTCAGTTTGAAGGATTTATTAATACCTATTCAATACATCATCTTCACTAAACGCTTGAACAAAACGAAGAGCGCTATCAAGTCCAATCCCTTGAACACCACTCGTATCATGATCATTTCCAACCAAAAGAGCGATAGCTATTAGGTGTTTCCTCTTCAATCCAAGCCCAGCCTCAATCTCTGACACATTGTAGCATTCAAACGGTTCCTGCATGCAAAAAAATCCCAACCATACTAAAAAAACCGCAAAGAAACTAAACAACTTTCCAAAGTACAGCAAGAGGGAGTAGGAGAATGCAGGATGCTAATTAGAAAAGAAGTTTTACAAGAGGAACGTCAGAGCTTATATATTTTTTGGTTGAATTATCCCGCCAGATTGTAAGATTGATTTATTATCAATCAAACCACCAAGTTCTGCTATTAATTAACCTAATTTTAACATGTCATGTGCATATTTTTTGAAGATGAATACTAAAATTATTAACCAAAATTCTCCGTGGTCTTACGCTTTACATTTTTTGGCAATAATCTCAACATGTGTGTTCTCAACTCTCAAGTACATCCTCTGAGTAGAAAAGGGGTGCATCATAGCATATAGATTCATGAATCATGCTACCATTTAGTGGATTACACAATGATGCAAGTGTTGTAATCAAACAGACAAATCAAAGGCTTTCATAAAATTGCCAAGAGAAGAAATGAAATATAGCGAAGATGGTTACTTACTTTGGAATTGGGAGAGAAAGATTTTATAACGCATTTGGCCCCAAAGAGGAATGCATCACTATCAGATGTGATGCACGCATCTACATAACCTTCACAATTTAATTGGGCACAGAGTGCTTCAGCCTCCCCTTTAGCTTTTAGTACAGGAATCCCAAGTAGCTCAGCAAGTTCCTATCACCAATAAGATTTAGGTAAAAAAAAAGTAACATATTGGTCAAAAAATTGAATGCATGCACATCTTAGCAACTGGAGGCCAAATTAGAGTCAGCACAATAGTTCGTGTAGATAACAATCAAGGTGAAAGAATTATCGCACCACACACTCTTGAACACATCTTGAAAATGAATGGTTCCTCTCAGCTGAAACACCTTCAGAAACTGGCAAGCTAGTCGATTCAATTCCAGAAGAACGGAAAAATCTAGCACTCCTTGCCTTTGATTTCAACGGCGATGGAGTCCCATCAACAACGAACACAGGAAATGCTCCAAACTACAAAAAAAAAAACATTATATTGTCATCAAACATCATTTCCATCCTTCGTTTCACTATTCCATAGAACCTCAACACAAAAGGACTAAAAGGATAATGGAACAATAAGTTAGTATACCACCGTTAAACTTCACTCCGCTCTATCCAAATACTACCAATATTAAGTCTTAGAATTTGAGGTTGAGCCTAACTCAACCTTATAAAACCAATTGTAAGTAACGATTTCCCCCACTTATAAACATGTGTCCAAACCATATGTTGTATGATGTAGAACTCTTAACACACACCTTATGTTCATCACTATTGGGCTTTGGTGCATGGTGGGGTGGCCCAACAGATCTTATACAATCTTAGCATTTGAGGTTAGGCTTAACTCAACCTCCGACAGCTGGGGTGGCCCAACAGATCTTATATCATTTTAGAATTTGATGTTGCACCTAACTCAACCTTACAAAACAGACCTGGAAGGTGAGGATTGCCGCTACTAAACATATGTAAAGGCCCTATATGAGACTCTTAAACTTAAGTACTTCAATTTGAATTCAATTAGCCTCAATCGTTGTTGAACCATACTCAAACATAACTGAAAAGATAATAACACGTTTACAACCATAATTTAACTAAACTAACCCAAAACCAAACTATCTCTTCATTTCTTTATTATATAACCAAAAGGGTTTTAAACTATCAATGTTTATCCCCAAGTAAGCTAAAACTATCAATGTTTTAATTCATTAAGCCCCAATTGGTGTTAAACCATACTCAAACATAACCAAAAAGGTAATAACACATTTTCAAACAATCATATAATTAAACTAACCCAAAACCATCTCTCAATTTTTTTCTTAAACAACCAAAAGCGTTCCAAAAAAATCATCATATCCACACAAAACCTAAAACATCAACATTTCCATCACACTATCTACCATGCAAAAAAAAATAAAAATCAAGGGAATAAGAGATAACCTTTGAAAAGAGATTAATCGTACGGAAGAAAGTGAGTCTGAGGTGAGGCTTCTTGACATGCGTTTTGATGGCATTGTTATGCTGAACAATCCAGAAGGAAAGGTCAACAGCAACTCGCTTGTTTCTCAAGAAATCAAAACCTTCATTGCGTGCATAGGGCTTCAACAAATCCCAGAAATTACCACCAACACCCATTGATTGTGTTTTCTACTTAATCACAAAATGGGTAACCGAAAACATCATCAAAATTCAGTCTTGTTTTGAAACAGACACTGAACGGGTTGATTGTTAGGTTTCGGTTTTTTGGAAGAGAAGAAGACGGAGAGAGTGTGAACTTTTTTTGGAGCAAAGATAACAAAATTTAGCCGTTGGGTGTTTTGTAACGTTACAATTGAGAATTGATTGGACTTCAAAAGCCCATTAAGACAAAAAGATTGTGCTATTTACACCTGTTGTTTAGTAGTACACTCTATGTTATTTATATACTTTGGTATGAATAGCCAAACTTTGATGCTGGCTTACACAAAAAGGTATTTTAGGGATATCATTAAAGTATAACAGGTTTTTTATTAAAATGATTTTTATAGTGTAAAAAAAAATTTATAAATTTTTTTTATAAAAGTTTTAAATGAAAATTTGGTTTGAATAATTATTATTAAAATGTTATTTTATATATTTTATTATATTATTAAAAAAAGTTACATATCAAAATTTTAAAAAATTAATTAATTTTGAAGTTATTTTAAATAATTTTTTATAAAAATTATTTTTGATATACAATTTTTTGAAAAATATATGAATTTGACTATGTTTTGATATTCAATAATATACGTTTATTTTATAGTATATCAAAATTAGTTTTTTAATTTATAAAAACTTGTCATATTTTAAAAAACCTTTTTGCAGAATCCATATTTAAAAATAAAAATAAAAGTCTTTTTTTTTTTAAGTTAAAACAAATTGGTTCTATATAAATTGAAACGTGTATTATTATTTTTAGAATAAAGATAGTGCAATGTCACTTTAAATTAGTTTTACACCATCATCCAATAAAATTATAACATTTTGCCATGTCATATCAGTATTTTAAAATTAAACGTATGATTTGGCGAGTTACACATTTTTGATTGGTTGAGAGTGTACAATTATTTTACACTGTGAATATATATATATATATATATATATATATATATATATATATATATATATATATATATATATATATATATATATATATATATATATATATATATATATATATATATATATATATATATATATATATATATATATATATATATATATATATATATATATATATATATATATATATATATATATATATATATATATATATATATATATATATATATATATATATATATATATATATATATATATATATATATATATATATATATATATATATATATATATATATATATATATGTTTACATGTTAAAATGGCCAAAGAAAGATATTACTCCTTTGTAAGGCTATTAAAAAAAACATTAACTGAATCGAACCGAATTGAAGTTAAAATAATTGAACTGTTATGTTTGGTATATGAACCAAATCATATTGCACAAACAGTTTTAGAACCGAACCAAAACTGAAACCAAACCAAATTAAAACTATAATCGAACCGAAATTAAAAATAAAAAAATACTAAAAATAAGTTTTAGTTTTATTTTTAAAAAAAATATTTAAAACTTAACGGTTCAGTTCTTTAATAAATTGTTCGGTTTGAGAAAAATTAACTTCTAACGATTTGGTACGGTTCAAAATTTTGAAATGATATGTTAAATCAATGATTATCGTTCGATTTGATTTTGAATAAATTGATACGATTCAATTTAATTCAAATATATTTATGATTTAGTTCGATTCAGATCAATTTTCTCACAATATGAACAACTTTCCTCCTTTTTCTCAAATTATAAACAACAAGTCACACAGTTTAAATTATAAATTTTTGTATTTTTAAGAAAAATTTTATGAGAAGATATAAAATATTTTTTTATTGATTGATGGAGAGATGAGAGACCAGATTCATTGTAATTTATAATTAATTTTACTCTAAATATGATAATGGGACAAAAAGTTGTTTTATTCTTATAATTTTGGGGTAAAATGAAGTTTTTCTTTCTTAAATTGAAACAAAGTATATTTAAAAGGTTTATGTTATTAATGTAACTCATTTTTATTGACTTTTTTATAAGAGAAGATATAAGAAGGCAAAGTTTGATGATGCACAAAAAAGTATTTTAGATCTAAAAATGGTTAATTGAATTCACTATATTTTTTTATCTTAATATATTAAAATGTAAGGTCGGCCTAATTAATCAAAAACTCTGTTATAATTTAAAAAATAAGTTTAAAAAATATGAATTTGTTAAATATAATTTAACATTTAAGATTAATTTTATTTACATTTATTTTGTATTTGAATTGGAGTTTCATTTGAGTTTCTATATAAAACTCAAATTAAAGTCAATTAGTAGCAAAATCTTATACATTTTCAAATTGAGTAAGTTACTTTAAAAAATCTCTCACTCCAATTCTTGTACATTATTAATGAAAGTTTATTGTTGAACTCTACCCAAATTTACATTGAATTTTTAAAAAATAATGGCATAAGTCATATATATTTAAAAATAAGTTATGATTTTACACCTCTTGTTATGAAATAGGTGTAGAATATGTTTTGAAAACAAACTATGAATTTATACCAGTGTTTTAAAACAGGTGTAAAATGTTGTTTTTTTAGTAAGTAAAAAAAGTTGGCAAAAGAAAGTTATAATACTTTGACCTTTTTATTTGATAAATTTTCTTTTACTGTTGTGAATTTTTTAGTGAATTACGACAAAATTTAATATCAATTTGTGAGGCAAAGAACAATAGAAACCAAAATAAATGGTCTTCAGCAATAATAATTCGTACACAGATAATATAACAGAATAAGGCAAGAAAAAATTGAAAGTTTGTTTACTCAGTTCGTTTAAACAATCTACTCTAGGGGAGAGAGCAACTCTCTAATTCAGTATACTCAGAAAGTTGTTACAAGAGATTACAAATGAGTTACAAGAAAATAACATTTGCCTTCAGGTTCCCAAGAACAATCCTGAAGGCGCCCAAGAACAACCATATTTTCTACCCAAGTGTTTCCCTACCTCTCCAACTCTCAATATATGAATCACTCAAAAATTTTCTTTGTGCATAGCTGAAATCTTATGATATACCTTTAAATTCTTGGTCTTCCTTATTGGTGAAAACCCTAAGATTGTCGCACACCAAACATATAAGAGATACATATATATAATAACAAATACCCAACAAACAAAGCCCAAAATCACATGGATCCATGGATCAAATTGAAAAGGCCCAAAAAACTCGAAAACACTATTCACCGTACGGAAAACACTATTCACCGTATTGACGAAACTATTCACCGTACGGGTAGCACTATTGACCATACGGTCGCCAGTATTCACCGACCGAGTTTTTTTTTTCTTTTTTCCTTTTCTCGACTTTTCGTCCGACTTTCTAAAACTTTTGATTTTTGCGGTAAATGCAATCTCCAAAATATGTTTTCTTTCTCTTCACCAACAAAGGTTTTAAGACACATTTACAACATATACAATAAGGATTTATTAAAATGTTTGGTTTTTAAGTCGTTTTGAAACACGCCTAAAATCATTTTCTGTTTTGAATTGATTACCCTTTTTATGATTTTGTTAAAATAGACTAAGTCCTTCAAAGTCTTAGTATGACCTTGATGAACATTGAAAAGGTACATTGCTGAGACTTTTCGTTATTTGATAACTAATGAATTATATTTTAAGTAAAGTCGACTTAACTGGTGATTGAGTGGCACGAGAGACTCATGTACCACCAAACCACAACTATCTTTAAAGGGCTAGAAAGAAGCATGCACTCTAGATACGTTGTTGTTTAGTGTTTATGGAAGATTTTGATTGAGGATTGTTCAATTTCTCGTCACAATTATCCCAATTCCCATACCACTTTTTTTATTGGATTGCTTACACCTGCATATGTAGATCCTTATTGATCTGGAGTTATCAGAATGGATCGTTTTGGCCTTCAATGTAGGGCAGCAAAAATGGTTGTAGGAGAGGAAGGGGTTGTACCTACAAGGTACTCCAATGTCAAAGTAAGTGTTTGAGCTAGAGATAAAGAAAGTATGGGTGTATAGGTATGAGCAAGAATGGTTAGAATATCTGACCCTTTCAAGAGAGAGGGTATTTATAAGTTTTTCCCCCAGCGCGGGGCCAAGTTCTCCCATGTAACTGAAATATCTGGTCGGCCAATGGGGGACTGCCAATTGGAAGATCTAGCGCGTGATTTTTGGCCTGGTCCAACTGTCTCTGTGACTTTCGGAGGGGCAGTTGATCGCGTGAACTGTCAAGCGCGTGAGAGGCATGTCCCCAACAGTCATGTGCTCTAAAAGCTATATTGTGCCCTATGGTCTTATTGGGCTTGGCCTTGAGCTAGACTGGCTTGGGCCTTACTCAGCTGTGGGGCAGGTGCCAGTCCAGTCCAGAATAGGAGCCTTCCCAAGTCATTGCTTCGAGGTGAGGAGAAACGACTTGAGTTAGCATAACTTGTGTGACCAAGGGGCAAGAACCGTATCGCGGGGAGGTCTTTGAGATCGCTATTAACTAAGCGAAAAAGTTTGGGGACGCGCAAGTGCGTAATTTTGACATGGTCGATTTGTGGGTCGTGCAGGACGTCCTCGAAGATGAGAAGTTCGTTTTGTGTCGACCAAGCTTGTTCTTAAGATATGGAAAACCTCGACGAGGCTCTTGCTCGGACATTGATATGGTGACGTAATCGAGGAGAATGTGCCCGCAGGGAGCTTAAGAGACTTGTCTTTTCACAAACACGTGAGGGTCAATTTAAGGATGCCAAGTGGCAACCATTCTGTGCCACGTGTGACAGCGCAATAAATTTTTCTTAAGGCCTAGGAGGCTAGGAGATTAGGCAATGATGGCCTTTTGCCCTTTGTGCTTCCCCATGTGAGCAAGGGAGCCTATATAAAGGGGGCGAAATTTCATTTCACACCATAAATATTTCTCTTCTCCTTATTTTTCGCTCTGCAACACTTTTGTTGTCGGAGATCTCGTCGTCGCTGCTGTTGCCCCTGTCATCCCAAGATCTTCATTTTCAACCTT